TTTTTTTTTTTTGAAACACATTCAAACTCATCTGTTAACATACATCGCATTTCTATTTGGCTTTTAAATTTTACTAAAAAAAAAATTTAGTAGCCACCCATTTAACGTACAAATAAATTCAGTTAATAGCAGAAAAAATAGATAAACCTCAAAAAAAAAAGAAAGAAAAATGAGTAGAAACACTTTGAATTACTAAAATTATAAACAAAAGTTTAAAAGGAAAAAAATTGCCTGCATATTATTCTGTCTTTTTCGTTCACGATAAAAGGTCTTTTTTTTTTCTTTTGAATTTGATAATTAAGCATAAAAAAAAAAAGAAAGAAACAAAAAATAAAAATTGTGAAACATTAAAGAGGATAAATTAAAGAGTTATAAAGCAAAAAATTTTGCTTCAAAATTGCAACAAAATTATCACAATTTGTTTTTTTTTTTTTTGTATTAGAAAATGCAAACAAAAAAATTTGAAAAAAAATTTTTTTTTTTCAAAACAGCTTTTAAATTTTACTAATCTTATTAAAAAGGAAAAAAGATTTTACATATATCATTGTTAACGCTATTTTAGACACCATTACTGAAACCAACCAATTCAGACATCTTTTTAAACTTATTTGAATAATTTCTTTTCAAAACAAAAGGAGCAAAATTAAAGGTGAAAAAAAAAGCACTAAATAAGTTTCAAGTTTTATACATATTTTTTACTTCATAATTTTTGCATTAACAGACTTATTGTTAACGCAGAAAAATAACAGGTGAAAAACATGGAAAACACCCAAACGGTTAAAGTTCTTTCGGTTGTCACATAACACTTTTTTAATGATTTAAACATTTGTTAAAGTTGAAAGGGGAAAAAAAAACAAAAGAAAAAATAGTCTGTCCTAAGCGGTTTTTCTTTTTCAGAGGTACTGTAAAGACGCCTTCTGAAACCTAATTTTCAAATTTTAGCAGCTGGTAACAACACAACTGTCCAAAAGCAGAAGATCTAATGAATCTACCAAGTTAGTGATACTAAAGTACAGTCTATACAGCTTCATCATTGCCAATCCGTTGATAAGAACTGATCAAAAAGCTCTGTAATCCGACTCAATTATGACATCCAAAAATGCGCATAGATTTTATCATCATTCATTTGTATAGTTTCAACTTTCAACTAATTTAATTATTCAAAATGCATAGACAACATTACTTTTT